ACCCTGCTAAGACGCAATGCGTCGGCTCATGGCCAACACCGACCTCTGTTACTCAAGTCCGCAGCTTCATAGGATTTGCCTCCTATTACCGTCGTTTTGTCAAACAGTTTGCCACCATAGCCAGGCCCCTGCACGCCTTGACGGCTAAAGGGGTGCGGTTTCACTGGGGGCCGGAGGAGGAGGCCGCGTTCTGCTCCCTTCGTGACGCCTTGGTGCAGGCTCCCCCCTTGTGTTACCCCGATTTCACGCAACCGTTTGTGCTCGACACGGATGCCAGTAACACGGGTATCGGGGGAGTGCTCTCACAGGTGGTCGGGGGGGTCGAACGGGTGGTCGCCTACGGTAGCAGGGTTCTGTCCCCCGCGGAACAACGCTACTGCGTGACACGGCGTGAATTGCTGGCGATTGTGTTTTTTATACAGCAATTCAGGCCGTATCTGTATGGCCGTCACTTTACGGTTCGCACGGACCATGCGGCTCTCCAATACGCTATGCGGGTGGCGCAGCCATCCGGCCAATTGTCCCGATGGTTGGAGGTCCTTCAGGACTACCAATTCACGACGATTTACCGCAAGGGGTTGCGCCACTCGAATGCGGATGCATTGTCACGGTTGCCGACGCGTACGGAATGCGCATGTCAGTTGGGATCGGCGCGGTGTAAACCTTCTGTCGATGTCCCCGCGGAAGTGGTGCTAGCCGCCACGGATACTACGGGGGTCGACGCCCCCACGGGGAGGGACTCGCTGTTAGCATTGCCTCTCATCGAGTGGGGCCGTCTGCAAATGGCCGACAGCTCCCTACTCGCGCTACGTCGGAAGGTTAACGTTCCCGAGGGCGGGGAAACGCGGGTCGGTTCCTGGGTGTGCAGACAGGGCCTCTTGATGAAGTGGGACTCCATGTCCCGGCGTCACATGCTTGTGGTGCCGGTTGCTGTACGGGGGAAGGTCGTCCTGGCTGCCCATGAACGACTCATGCATCTGGGGTTTCACAAAACGCTCGCCCTCATTCAGCGAGACTACTATTGGCCTGGGATGGGCAGTGACGTGGCGAACATTCTTAAGGGGTGTGTAGGGTGCGCTAAAAGAAAACCGCCACCAATAGCGGCTAATCCACCGCTTCAATCCATTCAAGTTTCGCGCACGAACGAATTGGTCGCGCTAGACATCTTGGGGCCCTTTCCCACTACACCTCGGGGAAATAAGTTCCTGCTGGTTGGCGTAGAGTACTTCACCCGCTGGCCCATGGCGTGGCCACTCGCCAACCAGTCGGCTGCGGCAGTGGCGGACGCCTTTGTCCAAGGTTATGTTTTGGACAAAGGCGCCCCCGAACGCTTGCTGACGGATCAAGGGAAAAACTTTTCGAGTTTTTTGTTGCGCGAGGTGTGCGACCTGTTGGGTACAAAGAAAGTACGTACCTCCCCGTACCACCCGCAGACTGACGGTATGGTTGAACGTCTGAACAGGACGATTACGTCTATGCTGTGCCAACAGGTATGCGACGACCAGGTGGATTGGGACTTACAGGTACCGGGGGTACTAGCGGCCTATCGGATGGCACCCCATGCGGCGACGGGGTTTTCTCCATTTTTTCTGATGTATGGGCGGGAGGCTGATCCGGCCATGGACGTCCAACTGGGGATTTCACAGCCACGTGCGAAATCTAAATTGGCAGACCACATTAAGTTTAACATCGCCAAATTGGCTGAGGCGCGAGAGGCTGCGAGATTGAATTCACGCTCTCGGCAGATCGCGAACGAGCGATTGCATGAACGGAAGGTGCATACGCACAATTGGGAACCGGGCGATAAGGCCTGGCTGCATTGTCCACACGCACCGTTGGCTACGTCCCCCAAACTGTTGAGACCATGGAGGGGACCGGTGGAAATTGTGCGGGTTGCACGACCCCAGAGTATACAGATTAAATGGGGAAAACGCCGTTGGTACGTGCACCCCTCCCGACTGAAACCCTACGCGGCGCCGCGTGACCCCGGGTTGTGCCGTGACGACCGAGCGTGTGATGTGACCGTCGACTCGGGGAGGGATGTGTCGCAGGTTGATCCTCACGTGTCTCCACCTGACCCACCCCCAGGTGTCTCGGACCTGACGGCTGTTGACCGTCGAGAACCGGAACCCCGCGGCTCGCGCGGAGCCCCGATGCCTGGCCCATGCCTTCCTGAACGGCCGGCGCCGCCGGATGGCCAACTGCGTCCTGTGCCGTACGACGGTCCGGCAAGGCGGACTCGGGCAAGGACGCAACACTTTTCATGAAAAAAAAAAAGAAAAAAAAATGTTTTTCTTTTTTTTGTTAAAGCCCGACTTCGTTGCCGGCTTCCCCCTCTGCCGGGGTAATGTCCCGTTCAAGGGACGCTCGGACATTGGGACGCTGCATGAGTCGGAGAGAAAAGAAGAGAAAATGATTAAAGAAATTTTTTTTATTGTTACTCTTTCCGCATACACAGTATCGTTGCCATTCGCCGGATTGTGCATGTTGTTCTTGTTGCGGGTGTGGCGGTTGCTGGGTTTTGCGGATTGCGGTGTTCATGTTGTGTTGTTAGGGTTTGTGTTATGTTACGGGGCACACGTGGGGGTGAAGGGGTGTTGTATGTTTTATTAGCAGCCGGGTCGGCTGCGAGCTATGTGGTAGGGGGTGATGTAGTGGTGGTATTGACGTGCGCCGGCAGTGATGGATCACGGGGCGCGGGGTTGGGCACGCGATGTGGGCGTGGCATGGACGCGCGCGCCGGTGGTGAGGCGCGCTCACACAAGCTGGGAAAAGAGGATCGTAGCGAGTGTGCAGTGATTGGTCAGATAAGTGGGTACTCTCAGCGACGTCCGCAGGAGGGGTATAAAGGGGGACGCGCGAGAGCACTCGTGGTCAGTGTTAACCAGTTGAAGACCGAAGACGGGGTGGAGGAGGTAGGGGCCCTGTGTGGCTCGGAGCCGAGACTGGGGGGACCGTAGTCCGACGCCCGTGTGGGTCGGGACGGTGGTACCCAGAGCCGAGACGGGCACCCCGGCTGGGTGTGTCCCGGAAGGCTACAGGGCGTAAGAGCCCGTGTCAGTACAGCTGAGTGGGTGTTGGTCACCCGTGTAGCTGAGTGGGTGTTAGTCACCCGTGTAGCTGAGTGGGTGTTGGTCACCCGTGTAGCTGAGTGGGTGTTAGTCACCCGTGTAGCTGAGTGGGTGTTGGTCACCCGTGTAGCTGAGTGGGTGTTAGTCACCCGTGTAGCTGAGTGGGTGTTGGTCACCCGTGTAGCTGAGTGGGTGTTGGTCACCCGTGTAGCTAAGTGGGTGTTGGTCACCCGTGTAACGAAGTTGTAGCTGAGTGGGTGTCCGTCACCCGTGTAGCTAAGTGGGTGTTGGTCACCCGTGTAACGAAGTAGGGTGTTAGTCATCCGTGTAACTACAAGTTGGCGAAAATAAAGAGTGTGCTACCCGTGAAGTCGTCTCCTGCCGAGTTACTACTTTACAATTGTATCGATACGTCGTCTCCTCGGACGTCTTTCAAGACGCATCCCCCGTCTCCTTGAAGCCTTCAAGAGGCGTCCTGCCCAAGCCAAGCTCCTGGAGATGTGGCCAAAGAGCTTTAGAGCTCATCGGATTCCACCGGTATCAATAAATATTCGGATTCAAGTTAAACTTTTCTCTGACATAGCGAGTGGCGCCGTGCTTTTGAATGGTTTGTTTCTGTAACGTTCTTACCCGCCCTGACTGGACACGTGGAAAAACAGCTTTAGAGCTCATCGGATTCCACCGGTACAAACAAACATTCTGATTCAAGTTGAACTCTTCTTTGACACAGCGCGTGGCATCATTTGACACGAGCACGTGCTATATTGGGCCCACGGGTTCCATTCCTCTTCCTTGTGTCTCAAGGTGCAACATCCAAGCGGGTATCTCTTAGGAGGAGGGTTCTCAAGCAACATTTTGTTTAACTTTAACCTCGGGAACCAGTCTGTTGAAAGAGATTTCTGACGAAACTTTGTACGCGAAACAACAGCAGGGAAAAAACTAAAATCTACGACAGTTGAGAGAACTTAAATGCGGGTTCCAAAGCTTCAAAAGTCTTGGGCGTCTTCACACGCCAGAGGCTTGCCTGGTTGCCTCAGAGCCACGATGCCGATCGATGCAGTTCAATTGCACGGCTGCCATCAGTGGCGAGTCGTTTCTGAAACGATGTCTGTGTCTTGCCCCCCCCCCCCTTCCCGCTCTGACCGGCGGGGTGAAGTATGGTCAAATGTCCCGTACGACTGCCAGTTTTTTTGGGGGGGTCCTCCCATCCAAACAGCAGATTAACAAACGGTTGCATAGTAACATGTTATACTGTATATATATACACGATTAAAAAAAACACACGGATTTCCCTCCCCACAGGAAGCCAATCAAAAAATGTAATTCACTGGCAAACTTCCCAAAGTGAGCAAAGGAGCGCTTCCTAAGAATAAAAACACACCCCGAGTCCCGGCAAGGCTCTCTCTCTCTCGAGGGGGCACACAACACCCCGCGGCATTTCACCGTCTTAAGATCGCGGCGGTGAACAAGCCTCACACACCGGCGGACTAACAAACACTGCGATCACTACAACACGGGGAGGAGGGAGGAGGAGGTCTGCATAGCGCAATAATTACTGCGCGGAACCGTGATTTTAAAGTGGTCTCATTCGTTGAACGAGACTGCAAATCCGAATCAGAGAGCTCCACCCGGACACGCCGCTTTGCTGCGAGACAAAAACACACAAGTGGCGCTGGGGAAAGATCCAGCAGTGGATTGAGCAAAGGTTGCTGATGTGGTGGGAGCCGGGGGTGGAGGGGGACCCGGGCGGCGCGGCCTACACAGCGCGGCCGAGTGAAGCCTGCGGGGCCACTCAGGCGAGAGTGGTGGCGCCCGGGAAACGCCTTGAAGGGGAGATTGAAGCCGGGACGATTTAACGGAGGAAAATGAATGGGACCCGGGGGCCGGAGACAGAGGAGCAAGAGAAAGAAGCACAGCCAGGCGCCTTACCGACTATGCCGGTCTGGTGAGACATGGCTTGGATTATCGATGAGTTGAGGGGAAACCGGGGACTCGGGCGAGACCGCAGGAGACGAGGCTGAGTCAGGCCACGCCCACCGACAGCGATGCCACGCCCACCGACAGCCGGGACACGCCCACCGAGCCAGGCCACGCCCACCGACAGCCGGGACACGCCCATCGAGCCAGGCCACGCCCACCGACACCGATGCCACGCCCACCGACACCGATGCCACGCCCATCGACAGCCGGGACACGCCCACCGACAGCCGGGACACGCCCACCGACAGCCGGGACACGCCCACCGACACCGATGCCACGCCCACCGACAGCCAGGCCACGCCCACCGACAGCCCAGACACGCCCACCGACAGCCGGGACACGCCCACCGACACCGATGCCACGCCCATCGAACCAGGCCACGCCCACCGACACCGATGCCACGCCCATCGAGTCAGGCCACGCCTATTTGAACACCACTATTTTTTTTATTAAACTCAGAATATTTATTTCTGCTGCAGGAGAAATCCGATGAGCTATAAAGCTCTTCCCCCCCCCACAGATGTCCAGTAGGGGCACGGGGTAAGAACGTCACAAACAACAAACAATACAGACGATAGTAGTGCAAAGTACAAGAAGGGTAAAAAAATAACCCAAACATTCAAATAAAACTAAACCATCCCCACACCCTACAAGACAAAGCCCCACTGAGGTCTATTAACTTATTGTTCAAAAGCGACCTGGCCACAAATGACAGCTCAACAAAGTGGCCCATCATTTGGCCATTTATAGCAGCAAAATTATCTAAATACTCTAAACGCGTGATGTTGTTTACAAATGTGGGGGGAAAAACCGGAGGACCTGGAGAAAAAATCCACGCCACCACGGGGAGATAGAGAGACACGAAAACTCCAAATATACAACAGCAGCAGGTGTCAGGGCCGGGATCGAATCCACGACCTCCTGTATACTAGGCGAGGTAGTTAACATCTCACCACGGGGAGAGAGACACGCAAATTCGAAATATACAGCAGGCGTCGTGATCGAACCCCCGACCTTCTGCACACCAGACGAGGTAGTTAACATCTCTTAAAACACCACATACACATGTACTTGTGAAGTATTGGAAATGACGGCAGGAACTTCTTGACGGGTAACACACTTTTATTAAATCTTGACGTGTCACAATACAACGTGTGGTCTCTATTCTTTGTACTATACACTCCACTTAACTCGTGTAGACTCTATGCCTCTGGCTACACACAATACACTTGACTCGTGTAGACCCTATGCCTCTGGCTACACACAATACACTTGACTCGTGTAGACCCTATGCCTCTGGCTACACACAATACACTTGACTTGTGTAGACCCTATGCCTCTGGCTACACACAATACACTTGACTCGTGTAGACCCTATGCCTCTGGCTACACACAATGCATTCGGCTCGTGTAGACCCTATGCCTATGGCTACACACAATACACTCGCCTCTGGGTTACACAGAGTCCCGGTCCCGTTAGGACAGCGGGACTAGGTACCGCAGGGCCCTATCTCTTCGATCCCCGTCTTCATTCTTCGCTGGTTACATACTACTCTTACGCCTGTGTGCATCCCCTTTTATAGCCCCTGCTCACGGGAGACGGAGCTGATGCGGACGTCGACGTGAGCATCGCTCCTTAGTTAACCAATCACGACGCGCTCTCTCTACGATCCGTTTTCCCCAGCGCGTGTTAACACTACTCCACCAATCACACCGCGCTGCCATTTGATCACTCCCTCTCAGCGCGTCACCGGCACACAGCCAATCAGTACCCCGTAACCCACGACCCCGCGCTGACCCCTGATCCTCCACCGTCAGCGCGCGTCACCACATACACAGCCAATCATTACGCGCTGGCACACGATGCCTACCCCAGCGCGTATCACCACTACACTTGTACCGGTCTCTCCTCATTAAATATTTAAAGTACGCCTTTACGCATTCCTATCAGCCACACATCTTCACAGCGCCGCATTGACTCAGGGAAATCTCTGCACCGGTTTCGACTTTGAGTGTGCCATCAGCAGTGCAGCGTGCTTTGAGTCAATGCTGGTGAACTGCCAGATGTGACAGGCAAGGATCTCTCTCTCTTTCTACACTATGAGGTCCGAGTTGGGCGCCAAATTAGATAGGAATACATAACTCGCAAAAACCATTCGCGTCGTTGTGGATAATATTAATACATGGCAATAAATGTTTTTCCTTCACGTGTCCGTACTTTTATTTTTCCGGGAGGAAGTACGTTAATGTGCAGAGAGACGGATCTGTGTAGGTGCGATATTGCTTATTTACATACCTGGCAACCCCTTGTTGGTGCTAACCTTATTACAGGCCAATTCAGACCTTATTGGTCACCCCGTGCCCTTATAAATCTCAACGTCCATCCTACAAAGTCCCATCACAAGGAAGAAACACAAACAAAGAGACACACGTTTTTTTTGCCCGTATTGAAACGGCTGTACGCCGTATGGACCTGAAAACTCAATTTTCCTGTACAAGAACACGGGCAAATCGGATGGGTTGACAGATATGGACAACTGAAGATTCCAGAATAGTCTCATTTTGTGACGAGTGTGACCTGAGCATTAATTTGAGCGAGAAAAACTGGCGGGTGGTTGAGTAATGTTACGTCTTTGTGTTTGTTCACATGTGTAGTGTAATAGCGCCGGCTGGTGGACAACAGCGGCAGCTGTGGTGGACAGACAGCGCACACGCCGGTGAGGGTGAGCACGGGGCGTGTGGGCAGAGCGGAGGAACTGGGGCAAGGGTCACGGAGGACTCCGTCTGGAGGCCCCTGGAACCTGCCGGCGGGTTCGAGAAGGGAGGCGCGGTCTGGGCGGAGCCAGGCCGCGCTGGGAGCATAAAAGGAGCAGAGAGCGGGAGGCTCGGGGCTGCCGGTTCTGGGAGTGGACTCGTCTCGTCGTCGCTGTCGTCTCGTCGCCGTCGTCGCTAAACGTCTCCGCTAGACGCTGCGCTACGAAGGAGAGGAGTTGGCTCTCTCAGTCAGCGCCGTCAGTGTTAGACGGCTCGTGTTGTGTACCGGCCCTAGTCTGAGCTGCTGTGGAGAGTGTGCGGACGAGACCGCGATAGTTAATAAAGAAATCTTGATTTGAAGTTTTCGTGACTGCAGGAATCCATACTCTTTGGTTCTTTCGGTAAAGTCACGTGGGTATAAAATAAAATAATCACGACGTTTCGATCGCAACACAAGCGGTCGTCCTCACGCGGAAAAAATCTAATCCAGCAGTGAAACTGCTGAACCAGTGAGAGAGCTGTTACAGCAAGAGATTATATATGTGGCAATGGGCAAGCAAGCGGGATCTGAGCTGGAAAGGAATAATAAAGAAAGTGCCTCCTATAAACTCTGTCTGAATCGTTGACACGACCCATGTATAAGGGATGTCGTGGTGGCCTCTGTGGTAAAGCATACTGTACAAGAATACGGGTAAACCGTGTGGGTTGACAGCTATGTATTTATATTCTTCACAGTGATGCTCATAACACGAACAGACTCTTCCACGAGATGTCAGGGATCTCCAAGTATGTGGGTATTTAAAAAATGTGCCTTAGAACCTATTAGTACGCTTACGCTTATGAAAAGTGTTAGTTAATCTTCTAAATGGATTATGCTGCTGCTAAGTCTTGTATAGCGCTTTGAGATCATTTATGAAAAGCGCTATTTAGATACTCCTCTACTTACGAACGAGATAGGTTCTAGAGGTGTCTGTTCGTAAATCGATTTGTCCGTGAGTCCAACTTGACTGCTGTGGATTCCAAGCATGTTGTACACGAAGCACAGTGAATGGCTTTAAAAGTTGTAAAATCTCCTGTGCGATGAAGATGACACTGGTTCTTCACGTTCTGCAGATGTAGACTCCACCGCCGCAATCTATTGCGCGGTGGTTGAACTCATGACTCAAGGTCCGAGCAGGCAACTGGACATAACGGACATGTTTGTTCTTATCTCTGAAAGTTCGTAAATTCTAAAGTTCGTAAGTAGAGGAGTCCCTGTAGAAATGGGAATTATTAATCACATAGGAGTCTCACATCATGGGACCTCCTTTGCCAGTACCAAAATACGAGAATCGGTTTTCCCCTGTTTCTGGCAACAAAACAGGTGTGTTAAGATGTTAAAACACCAAACTGAAACCTTTTACAAGGAATCATGTCTGCATTAACCACAATACTTGTGGTCAGAATGCAAACAAAAAACATACTCTGATAATATATGCATTGTCTTTGAAACTGATTGGTCCACACCCGAGACAGCTTTCCTTAGAGCCTAGTCTCATATGGGTCGGACCAGATGACTAGGCTCTAAGGAAAGCTGTCTCGGGTGTGGACCAATCAACTTCAAGGACAGTGCATACATTATCAGAGTTATGTTCTTTTGTTTGTATTATGACTGCAGGTATTGCGGTCTATGCAAACATGACTCTTTGTAAAAAGGTGTCAGTTTTGTTGCCAGATAGAAGGGTAAAGAACCAATTATCAGTATGTTTTTTGTTTGCATTCTGACCACAAGTATTGTGGTTAATGCAGACATGATTCCTTGTAAAAGGTTTAAGTTTGGTGTTTCAACATCTTAACACAGCTGTTTTGTTGCCAGAAACAGGGGAAAACCAATTCTCATAGGAGTCTCAGTTAAATTCATAGGCCACGACCATGCTTACTGCGACCACGCCCACAAATATACTAACACGCCCACAACTACTATAGCCACGCCCACAACTACTATAGCCACGCCCACAACTACCTTAGACACGCCCACAACTACTATAGCCACGCCCACAACTACCTTAGACACGCCCACAACTATTATAGCCACGCCCACAACTATTATAGCCACGCCCACAACTACCTTAGACACGCCCACAACTATTATAGCCACGCCCACAACTACTATAGCCACGCCCACAACTACCTTAGACACGCCCACAACTACTATAGCCACGCCCACAACTACCTTAGACACGCCCACCCCAATACAAAGCCCGCCGGCGTGGGCCCTGCCCACCACTAATGTAGCCACGCCCACTCTAACACTGGAGCCCCGCCTACCCCCCGGTGTCTCGCCCCCCCACCACCAAACGCGCATGCGCAAACAACCACGTCGGGGGGGGGGGGTGTGCCGGGCCC